AAAAAATATATTTGTATATTTATTTGTATTTCTTTTTATTATTTCTCTAATAATTCTTCCTGTTTTCTCTCTTACAACTCCTGTTAGCTGTGGGCCTCTTCATTTGATCCTTCAGCTTTCTTATCTTTTCTCTCCCAATTTTCATCTGTCATATTGTTCACCTTCTAGGAAGCCTCCTCAGTTTTATCTTCCAGTCCTCCCCCCTGAGTATTTTCTTTCTTAAATCAAAATTTTAATTTCTAAGCTTGCATTCATTTTCTCAGGTTTTGTTTCTTTGTGGCTTCTCCCCTCACAGGCTCTGGTTTCACCTCTGTTTGGTCCACAAAGTCAATTAATTACCAGTAGTGCTGAACACAACTGTTATCAAAAATGCAATTTTGTAAACTTCAGTGAACTGTATTAAAAGTAATGGTGAAAGTAGGCATACTTAAACTCATCCCTTCCCTGTTTCACTTTATCTGTGTTCTTGAGGCCCCATGCCTGTCATATCTGTGTGGTGGAAGTACTATACCCTGGTGCACTCCAGTGCATCTCCATCCTGCCTCTTTGTTCAGTGACATCATGTCAGGAGATTACACCCCAGTAATCAGTATATCACTGCAAAGCAGGGCACCCCACCCCTGCCCCTTAGTTGTTAAAGTTTGCCAGCACACCACTAGTTATGCTCATCTGTTCTCTTTATGGTTTCTAAGGTTTGTTAACATCCTCATGGGCTGGTGTCCTCTCCCTGTTTTTATCCTTATGGTTTATGCCCTTTTAGAGTATTCTTTCACTGGTTTGAGGAGAGAGTTGAGATAAATCTCTGCATTCTGGGCACCGGGTTCCAGAGGGCCGGTTCCATCTCCTACGTCCAGGTTCTAAGCCTGGCTGCAGTGTGTTTTTCTCAGAAGACCGACTTATATCATGGACCTAAGTAGGAATTCGTTCTTGTCGTGGGGCTCTTGGAAACCACTTCCTCCGAACAGAAATGGCTCCACATTGATATTTGAGGGGAAATGAAACATCCTAGTGGGTCTCACATCTGTGCCCTATAGCCAGAAGGGCCCCGGGCTGTGGGCACAGGTTCTCAGGGCCTCACGCAAGCTCAGGAAGAACCGCTATCCGCTATGAGCTGGGGGAG